ATTGCAACGCACCGTTTCATTGGGTAGCACTGTTTTAAAGTGGGTATAGCACATTCAATTTCACTGTTTGGGCTACCGATACATTAAATTGACAGCACACTATTTAAAAAACAAAAAAAGATCCAATGTGAAATATTGTGCTATCTGTGAAACAGTGTACTACCAATTTGATATAAAGTACTGCCCAAACATAAAAACAGAGCGCTATCTACAGTACCGGTTCTTGAAATTGTAGTGTGCTATCGATTTTATGAACTGTTTAAAATTGGGTAGCACATTGTTTGATGGGTAGCACATTTCAAATGGGTCTAGGTTACTTCAAATAGATAGCAGACTCTGTCACAGATAGAGTATTTCACATTTGATAGCATATTGAAATAGTGTGCTATCCGGTTTTACATAGTGTGCTATCGATTTAATGTACCGGTACTGCCCAAACAGTAAAATAGTGCATTATCTATTTTGAAAGTGCAAACCCACTTTCAAATATTGTGCTACCCAATTTGAAATGGTGCGTTGCAGTGTTATGTAAGAGAATGTCCATGTATTCGTAAAATTAATATGTAATTAAAGGATATGTATATGCATATATAAGTATGTGTGGGTGTATGGATATTGTATATAGGCCTATAGGTAGGGGCTATAAATGCATAATTCTTTATTCTTTATTCTCAACCAACAGTGTAAAACACCAATAATATAATAATATGCATGCTTATTTAGATAAACGTTTATATGTTTTTATATTATGTAGGCTTAGGCCTATATGGGTAGCACATTTCAAGGCCTAGATAGCACTCTGTTACTTAGTTTTTGGGCAGTACTTTACATCTAATTGATAGAACACTATTTCACATTTGATAGCACATTGAAAGTGTGCTACACAATTTTAAATAGTTTGTTATCAATTTAATGTTATACTGCCCAAACAGTAAAATAGTGCGTTTTCTTTGAACGTGCTACCCACATTAAAACAGTGTGCTGCCCATTTTGAAATGGTGCGTTGAATGTTTATTTAAGAGAATTTCTATGTACAGGTATTCGTTAAGTGTTAATATTTGATTATCCACATGTATAGGCCTATATACTAAATTGGGTAGCACAGTGGGTAGCACATTTCAAATTGATAGCACATTGTTTCTCTATTTTGAGCATGTGTACATCTTCTTGATAGCACATTATTTTTAATTTGATAGCACATTCCATGGATAGCCCCTTTAATAATAAAATAAATAATATAATAATAATTCTGGATTTATATAGCGCCTCCCGTTGACACAACCTCGAAGCGCTTGAACATTATTACTCCCGGATCACTGGATCAAGCACATATGGAACACACACTCAAGTCCCATAGGGGAATTCCATAATGTTGCAGCTGTATTCAGCGCAGGCTGTGTTTGAACCTACCAGGTACCCACTTGTACTCATGGGTGGAGAGAGACAACCGTAGATAAAGTGCCTTGCCCAAGGACACAAGCGACTTGCACAGCGAGAGTTTCAATGTACTATCTGATTTTAAATAGTGTCCATCTGAAATAATGTTCAACTTATTGTATTAGTGCTATCGATTTGATGCATTGTTTAAAGTTGGGTAGCACACTGTTTTAAAATGGGTAGCACATTTCAAATATGCCTAATACAGTATCGCTCTGTTTCTTCGGGCAGTACTTTAAATCAAATTGATAGCACACTATTTCACATATGTATAATACATAGGCCGTTTAAAATTGGGTAGCACATTTCAAATAGATAGTGCATTGTTTCTCTGTTTGGGCAGTAGGCCTACTGTACATCTCAAATTATTGATTAATGACCACCATTCAATGTGATATGCGATTTTAAATAGTGTCCATTTGAAATAATGCTCTACCTATTTGAAATACTGTGGTGTGCTATCGATTTTATGAACCGTTTAAAATGAGGGTTTCTTTTCTGCGAGTTGCGAGTTACAAAGTGCGAGTTGCGAGTTACAAAGTGCGAGTTGCAAAGTGCGAGTTGCGAGTTACAAACTGCGAGTTGCGAGTTACAAAATGCGAGTTGCGAGTTACAAAATGCGAGTTGCGAGTTACAAAATGCGAGTTGCGAGTTACAAAATGCGAGTTGTGGTGGTAATTATTTTATGTAATGAATAAAACCATTAGTTGTCTGAGGGTAATGATAAATATTATATTTGTGTTTTTAGGAGGCAGGTCCACCTATTTTAGTTAGTTTGATAGGCCAAATAACACACCAAGGCTAGGCATAGTGATGCAATATTATTAGAATTCGGGCTCGGTGTACTAGTCTGTAATGTCATATATAGACTTGCATCCAGCCAGCTAGGCCTAACAAACTGTACTGTCACCTAAAACAAAAAAATGAAGGCGAATAAAATCAAACATTGAATTGGCCAATTTGTTTATAGGAAAATCATTCACTTTTTATTCAAAAATTGAACTAAAATAATCAAGATAATCAGATAAATTAGTTTGATAATTTGCATACCAGGGTTGCCATTTGGCCTTTTTGACGGCCAGATTCCTCAAATCTGGCCGTATAAAAATTTGCCTGGCCGTAACGTTTGAAAAGTCACGCCCAAACTATATTTGGCCGAATTTGGCCGAATTTTTGAATGTACATTTTTTTTTCAATACAGGCCTAATATAACAGACTTGTTTTGGATGTGTTGTTTTTGTTAGCTTAAATTATATATTTTATTCTAATCACAGTGGCGGATCCAGGGGGTTCGCCCCCCCCCCCCCTTTGAAGAAATGTAACAAAACACTATGGGTCCTGGCTTACAAAATTCATGCTAACTAGACGCGGATCCAGACCTTCGCCCACTTCGCCCAAACGAAGGTTAGGGTGAGAATTCAAAATAGAATGTTGACCATTTTTTCCAACAATCATACTTGCTTTCCTTATGACACTTATTTTGAACCTTACCATTAAAACAATGTTTAAAAATCCACACTATCCTATACTTTACACTTTTAAACTGATTGTACTGTAGGCCCTACCAGAGAGAGAGGTACATTCCCAATACATTATGGTCTTCCACTTCTATAGCACATGATACAGTGCATAGCAAAGGTTATGTAACCACTAATAAATAATACTCAGGTCCAGTGGCGTAGGTATGGGCAGTGCAGTCAGTGCACAGCACTGGGGCGGGGCTATTGGGGGCTCATTTAATAGGTATAATGATCTAAAAATTAAACTTTAAAAAAATCCTATTCAAACTTTAAAAGGACCCTTCAATAATATTAGGTTTTAGAGGCTATAGTTATTGATTATATTCATTATAATTTAACTATTAGGCCTACATATTTCCCAAACGCTGCAAGTAAAAAAAAAAACAACAACAACAACAATACCTGTCTCTTATACACATCTAGATGTGTATAAGAGACAGACCATATTCACCATCATCTTCATCTTCATTATCATCATCATCACAACTATTTTTTGTATCCAGTGGCGTAGCTAGAGGCTTGGCACCCGGGGGGCAAGAGTAGAAAATTGCCCCCCCCCCCAATTATAATTATAATACTTTGAAATAAATTGATATTGGTTGTATAGACTTTAAGCATATCCGTACCGTACGTCCATCATGCACTGTCTAAATAATATTATTTAATTCAACCCGAATAAGTATTATTATTCTAGCTCTCATATGTTCTTTCTTACCAGGGGTGGAGCCAGGATTTGCCCGAGGGGGACCGAGGTCCGACGAAGGGGAAGATTTCCTTGACGAGAGCAAATTGGGCGTGATCGAGCGTCGCTTAAAATCTTCCGAAAGTAGTCGGAGTGGGGGGGGGGGGGTGCGAAGCCCCCGAAAATTGTTGACAATTTATGGGTTTCAAAGGCTTATTTAATCTATTTTAGAGTCTACTATGTACAAAGTACATACTGTATAATTTTTTTTCTCCCTAACAAATTATGGTTTTCTCCCCGACCGGGGTTGGGGAGGGGGAGGTGGGGCGCAGCTATCCCTGAAGGTGGGGCCTGGCGCCACCCCTGTTTGTTACTATTGAAACTGCATTACGATGTTCGGAACTTTGTATTTATCGCATACAGCTTAATATTCTTATTCTCTAAATTTATCTTATAGTAGTCTTGTAAGTTGCTGAATTTTTGACATTGTTTAATTTCGCAACTGAATTTTGTTTGCTTTTGCGCATCAGCAAAAAAGTTATTAGCATGATCAAAGTTAGCGATTTTGTTTGCTTCATCACGCTCAGTACTAAGTAATGCAAAAGCAGATAGTCTCCCTTTCCGGTCGTGGCTCTGAGATATGGCAGGATGAGCTTTAGTCATGTAGTCATTACAGAATAGGATAGAAAACAAGAGAAAACGGTCGAGGACTGAAAATTGAAATCACAATCTATAAATTTGCCAATAAAAACAACTACATCCAGATTCTTATTAACTGGAAAATATCCATGCCTGACGACATATACATGAATTTCGTCGTGTTTTTCTAAAAAGTACTTTTTTTAAAAATCTCATCCTCCCATTTCAGCGCCCACGCCCCCCCCCCCCCCCAAAAAAAACCTGCTGCCCGGGGCATAATAAGTATTAATGGGTGTAACTATAGTGCGCAGCGTTATCTGAGGGCCGAAGCCGAGCCGTGGGTGGCTATAGGAGGGAGATGTCCCCTCCTCTTAAAACAAGATTTTTTTTTTTTAATTGGCCGGAAATGGCTGGGTTGGAAAAACTAGGCCTACTTTTTGTTTTCTTTTGGTCCGACTGCCCGACGAGCTTTGGCCGATGTGGGGGCTTGTTCTTTTTCTTCTTGCGCGATTGCGGAGTACTATATTAGTACCGCAAAATAAAAAAAAACATGCAGTCCCCTCGAATGGTTTTATTTTGGTGGCAAGAAAAACAAACCTCGGGGGAAAAACTGACCTAATTATGAGGCGTGACGGTTTTCCGCTAACATGGAATGTACGTTGACTGGTAGATATACCGGATATACGATTCTTAAGGGATTGAAATTAGTCATCCATGCCCATCATTATCGTATCACAGTTCCTCTATTAGAACTGCTTAGAAGAAAGTAGAGAGGAGTGTTTGGATCAATTACTGACAATGTTTTGGAGCCTTTATTACATAATTACAGAAAGCTGATTTTGGCTGGACAGCCATCGTTTTGTCTCCTGATTAATCCTGAATTGGGGGCCAATTAGGCCTGATCAACTACGAATTTGATCAAATGGATGAGGAAGAACTTCGGTGTTTTGGGGGTACTCCGATGAGAAAAGGAGACTATGTAAACATCGTGCGAGGCCTATTTGCAAGGTTGCTATTCACGTCCCATGCTTTTCTATGTGCCAGACAATATTCTCACATGAAGGGAACCAAAGAAGGGTGGTTTATGTTGCTACTGTTAATCGTGGTATATGGAGAGTTCATCATTCTTATTGTACTTCGACGTGGCAAGGAATGGAAGTGGTAAGTAGGTAATAGGGTAGTCCAGAGAACTACTACTACAGGACCAACTGCTAAGTACTGTACCTAGCCGATTTTCATTTTTTTAGATGGTGGACCTACTTGGATCACCAGGGGCGGATCCAGGATTTAAAAGAGGATTTCAAAATGTTTCTAAAAAACCCCAAAATGAAAGGGGAATTATGATTCCTCGATGGCCGGAAATGAGCTTTCCCGACTTCCGAGGAGTCTTTTAATGACTTTTAAGTTCTTCAAATAAAGGTTTTCCCCTCTTGAAAAAAGGTCAGGTAATTTTATATCATTCTTTAGACCTATCATATAGGGACAAAAAACAAAGACAGGCAATATATTATTATATTCCAACAACATTGGGTAGTTAGATATGTAGTCTTTCTTCCATGGATCGATGAACCGATAGGCCTGAAGAACGCACTTTCGTACATAAATTATTGCGATGGTGAACCAAAAACAGTGTGTATAATTTATTTAATTTAAAACTAGTTGTGCTAAGCCTAGTTTGTCTGATCTTTCCAATCTATGCCTAGGTAGGTTAGCATGCCTTTTATAAGCCAGGACCCAGTTGTATTTTGTTACGTTTCTTCACAGGGGGGAATTCATTTGAAACCCCCCCCCCCCCGAATCCGCCACTGATCACCAGTTCTCATACAGTCAGCTTCTAATCAGGATCTACTATTAAGTGACAATTCTGGTTGCAGTAGGCCTACATTTCTTTATCAGCACTCCTGCTGTGTCGAACACCCTTTTTGTGTCTTAAAAAACCAGGTGTACAAAATAGCAAAGAATGATTTTCCTCTGGAGCACGTTTTGAAATATATATTTATCATATTTATCATATTAATATTAATCATATTGATCTATTGCTTAAATTATATACAAACAAATACATGAAAGGTCTATGTATGGATATAATTTACAATTTAATAAAAACTTGTATCATTGTTTTATTTTAGCAATTTTTTATGTTCAGTTGAACATTTTGTAGTACAGACTTAATGCATGCCAAAAGTGCAGTTTCAGAGTAGAGCCTTTTCAGTAGCTTCACTTAGGCTTTGGAATAGTCTTCCCAACAATTAAAAAAATGCTTCTTGTTATCTTGATTTTTGTCAGCTTCTAAAGAGACATTTGTTACCAAACTAGATCTTGATGAACTGCCCAATTTTTTTTTTTTTAATATTCTAATGGTTTTATTCATATTCTATGTTTCATATAGTGTCATTGTTAATCGCCAGTTAGCAAAAATCACAGTTTAAATTCCTGTATAAGGGCTTCATGCCAGGAGGTAGTCCTAATCATTAAGAAGTAGAATTCACTGCTTTACCATAAAATCATGTTCTATTTCATTTACTATGGTCTCATAAATATTTAAACAGCAAATTGTTCATCATTTTGACCTGTGAGGGTATTTACACAATTTGCATACGATTTACGTAAGCAGGGGTGCGGTAGTCAATTTTGGGTAGTACTTTCTTCCCCACTTCCATCAGGGGCAGATCCAGTTGGGGCACAGAGGATACGTGTGCCCCCACCCTTGTTTTGCCACTAAATTTAAAAATTTTCAGTGCAAATCAATGTTACAGTATGTGCTACTCACTTACCTATTCTGAGACTGTTTTTCCCCTGTTTGAAAAATTCTGGATCTGCCCCTGTCCCCGTAAATTTGACCAATGACCAATAAAATGTTATTATTACCTACTGTAATTAATATTTATGAAGTATAGTATGAACTGCAATACTGTGATGGTAGCGGTAATGAATTCAATTGGGTGGGGCACTTGCTAGATTTGTGTTTATTGATGTTGTTTACTTTCTACATAGGTTTTTCTTATCTATCTTGTGCTATCTACTGGCTGTAGTGCCAACACTTTGGACATTAGAAATTGAAGCTTTGAATACTAGAGTGGAAAACTCTATGAAGATGGGTGAAGATGACTGTGGTATAAAAACCATGATGCACAATAAGACCCAGACCGTCAAAATGGAAAAAATATCAGTGTTGCTAGGATTGCGGGTAAGTATGCTTTCCTATAAAAAAACATTTGTTTCTATGGTATTCTGCTTTTGTTTAATTATATTCAGAGTATACAGTAGGCCTACCAGGCACAGATCGAGACCTTCGCACCATTCAAAATGGCGCCTAGGTCATGTTGAGATAAAACAATAAAACCTAAAATGTGTATGCAGTAGGCCTACTAGCTGCTGTACTACTGGGATGAATACGGTGCAAATACAGGGTGTCCCAAAAGTCATTTACAATCCACTTAAACAACATTTGACTCCTTTATATAATTACACAAGCTAAAGTGGGCACATAACACACATACCGTACATTGTGGTTTAATGTTGAATGTGCATGCGTAGGCCTAAGGAGGGTTTTTTGCCAAGCACATTTTGAGGAGATCTACAGTATTCCAATTGATGTAAATTATTGCGAGTAGCACATTTGGAAATAAGGATGATTTTAATCTGAAATTAATAATTACCTTTAAAAAACTTCCCCTCTCTCTTAATAGCTCCCTCCCTTTTTCCACCTAATAATTTGCATTAGTGTATTTGGTACCAAAGTACACGATGTCAGTAAAACATATAAATTCTGTTTTCTGTTTCATTGGAGATAAGGAAATAGTTTTTCTTTTACATATAAGCCAACCTTATACATACATTTCAGGATAGTGTTTTTTTACTTTGTTCCACTACAACAAGCCATATCCTTGTACCCATTGTATTTGTTATTCAATGTCATTTTCTTCAGTCTGGTATTTATATACAGTAGGTTTCGTGCCATGCTACAAATAAGTACTGTATACTTTCTTTGAAAACGTATTTCTAAAGCAATTGAAATATCGGAATATACTGTACTGTACATACTTTTTAAATGCCCCTGGTCAAAAGCCATCCATTACCACTTGCCCTCGTAATTACTTTTTCAGCTCGGAGGTAGAAGCAAAATTTTTGAAAATAATTTAAATTAATATTCTAGTACTTCAGAACCACTAGATTTTTCCAGGGATTTCCACTGCTAGATGCTAGTAGCAGTGGCACCCTGACCTATAGCCTACAGTACATAACTTCTTTACCTGTGTCCCTAATTTCTTGTTTTTCTCTGGAAATATAAGGATTAAATATAGAAACCACTCAGATTAGTCTACACAATATCAAATACACTGTATATTTTGGTTGGCCCTTTGTACTGTACCTACACTCCAACTAGGGCCTTTGACATGGCTCACCGTAGAATTACTTTGGACGGTCCCCAGACATGGCTCACCTTGTAATCATTATTCCCATATGGTTCATACCATGCTACCCTCATCAGGGGCGTACCGTAGGGGGGTCGACCCTCCCTTTTACAGAAAGTGCCCTTTAAATATGATTTTTTATAAAAATCTAGCATAATTAAACTGCGCCTAACATGAAGGTAGTTAATATCAAAATAAATTATCCTTCGCCTAAAAAATGTTTGGTGGCCCTTCCTTTTAATATTTTGATTTTTTGTCTTTTTTTTAAACAATCCATATAAAGTTATACATTTTTAATCAACTTGATATCTTGAAGCCCGCGCGCCAGTAGTGTTGTGTTATGTGGTTACGCATCATTGCACTCTGCCATTATTGTTATCTGTAGCTGCGTGTTTTTCGTGCAGCAAAATAATCTATCACGCGCAACGCAAAACCGAAGGCAATGTAATTATTTGATGAGAGCAAATTTTTCTCGTGAGGTAGTTCAATACTGTAGATTATTTTTTCGGAATATAAAAATGCCAAATAAAGAGAGAAGAAGAAAAATAAAAGAAAAGGAACTCAGAGAAGACGCAAAACGATGCAGGATGCATCGGAAAATTAATGATAACAATTTGATCTTTAAATAAAAAGCTATTTATTTTTTTATGTAAATATTAGGTAAAGTTAAATTACCTTTAGTATTTAAAGCGTAGTTTAAGTATTAGTTATTGAGAAAAACGATGAAGAAAAACTAAGTTAAAGAAATATATTAAAATATAAAATTGAAAGAAAAACGATGAAGAAAAACTAAGTTAAAGAAATATATTAAAATATAAAATTGAAAGGAAAACGTTAAGAAATAAACACATACAAAATGTTACTTTAATCAATTATATGTTCCCTATATCATTGTTTATTTTTCAATACAGTATATACGGTACATTTATAACTTTACTTTTTTTTAAAATTAAAGGTGGGACGATCCCACGAAAAAGAAAAAGAAAATTTTGTTTCTAATTCTTTAATCTGAAATGCTCACAGGCCCGTATTCAGGAGTTCCGCAATCCAATAGGCTGGTGGTATATTGAGTGAATATAGTCTGGTTTTGCCCAAAAACTACGTTTAGAATTAGACCTATTTTGTCAGAACTTAATGCACTAGAACGTAAAAACGTAAATTTTTCCCCTTTTGCGGCCCCCTAGCCCCAGCCTAGTTGCTCGCTTCACTCACAAATAACGCACCCCGCGAATTCTGAAAGCTTCTCTAAATTGCTCCGAGTTCAGCTGGCCCCCTGCGCTTTCGTTTTGACCCCCCCCCCCTTAGATTTTTCACCATATGCCCCTGCTCATCATCATCATCAACAACTTTTTTTGTCAGGTTGATTGTTAAAAGCAAATACTAATATTTATAAAACACTAATAATAACTAATAATACTGCTATTCGGTTTCTATGACCATTTAGTTTGTAGAGGGTAATGCTCGAGATGAAGTTTTTATTAATAGGAGTGAAATGTTTGCCCTACCAGATGTGTTATTGTAACGAATACTTGGTACGTTTCCAAATACCTGCGAATACAAACCTTGCAAGTGGTTCTGGCGGGAATGTAACCCACAACCTCCTGATAACTAGCCTGGTGTCATAACCACTAGATCACCAAGCTTCCGCTTAGTGGTAAATAGTGTTGAATCTGGCAGTGGGTATTGCAATGCTATTACAATTTGTTTTGCATCATGAAATAAGTTTTTATTTACCTTTTAGGTATTCCATTGATAAAAGATTCAAGTGATCGTGACACTAATTCACTAGTAAATGCCATGTGTCAAATATGTTGGTAATTTTTGCCCTTGGTAAATATGAATACTGTTTTGTCATCCTGAGAAACCTACATAGCATTTATTTAATAAGAATTGCACTTAACAAACTAATAATCAGAAAATAATGATTATTCATTTTAATTTTACAGATGACGGATCAAGAGTGGTCATTAGTCCTTCAACAAAAACTGCTCTTCGTGCTCATTATTGGTCGCTGGATACTACCACGTGGACCAATCACAAGTGATCAATTATCCCAGCTTCTTCTTGTGTACATTGGCATAGGAGCAGATATTCTGGAATTTTCCACAGAAGGGTTGCGATTACCAAGCGTGCAATGTAATTCTACGGTGATTATTGTAATTCTCTCTGTGTGGACAGCAAGTTTACTACAGTTTACTTTGTCATTGACACTACGAAAGAGACCAAAGCCCCGGCAACATGTTAAGGGTTTCAAGAAGTTTAAATTTTTGGCTGGTACGTGTTGTGCAACTGAAGTTTGGAGTATCTTAGTGACGGTATGCATGCAAGATGGTCCATTCTTGCTGGTCCGAATCTACCTAATTATATTTCGCAAAGTTTTTAATCAGCTTCTTCTATTTTTTGCCTTTAAAAATTTGCTTGTAATATTCCTGCAGTGTTACAGGCTCTGGGTGTTGTTAAATAGGCGACTGGATGTACGCCGTTCCCACCGAAAACGTGTTGCTCTCAAAATAGCAAATGTTAGAAAAGTAGAGGAAGGGATAAATGTTAGAAAAGTAGAGGGAGAAGAAAATGATATTGATGAATCACAAGTATGATGCTTCAGTACCTCATTCAGCAATGTTACAGAAGAACTTGCTTATATTATCTACCAGCAATAGAAGATCACTATGCCATTTATAAAGTTACCAAACAATATATTTTATGCAAAATACTGTATGTAAGTATGTTATAAAAATAATACATTTCTGCTTTATACCACATTCATAGAGCAAAGAAACAGGTAGTGGTGCTACCATGGTTTTCCTGATGAGGGGTCCAACATCCCTGATGGAGGGTGAGGTGGAACAATGTTTCAGAACGGTTCGTGGGAGCCTCGTAGAATCTATGATACTTTAGGGCTTACTAATCGATTCTAACTTTCTAATTTCAGTCTAACAAAACTGTATGTAGAAAATACATAAAATTTTTTCCCTGATGAAATGTGTTCTTTTCTACTCAATGGGGGTGGGGGGCAGCTCTTCCCGACGAGGAACTTCTCTGTAAAATATTGCTTGCATTTTTGGGCAAGGAACATCCAGGAGTATATATGGATGCCTGGTAGTATGTTGACAGCATTGAATGTATTGATCTGTGTACCATCTAGCTGCATAGACTAGATATACTGTACTCACAAAGGACCAGAAAAGCTATGCATTTTGTTCAGTTTGCTGAGCTATGAATCCAATGACTAGGGGTAAAATCATTGCAAGATTTAAAACCTGTCTAAAATATGTCTACATCAACTGCGGTGAAACCTGTAAATTTCGTTTTAGTGCTTTTAAAATAGTATTTTGATATAAAGTTTGTATATAATATTTTATTTTTAATGTACTGACATGCTATAGCATGATGAATAAAAAGTATAGCCGCATTAGTCTGTACAGTATAGAACAATATAATGTAAACTAGAAATTGCAAATTGCAAGTGAAGTGCTGCGAAGTACAACTGCATAAAATGTTCTTCGAACAAAATTATTTATGCGAGTCAAGTGAAAATAATGAATAATATTAAATATAACAAACCCATATAACGACCCATTGTCTATATTAGAACAGCGTTGGTACCGTGTACAATAGTGTTTTGCTGCAGTGACATCTCTCTGCTGGCGACTCGCTGCTGCTGGCGATGACTCGCTGCTGGTGAATCGATCTGCGCATGTGTATAAAATGGTATTTATTTCCAAAAACACTATGCCAGTCTACAACAAGCGTCGCCTATTAAATGTAATAATTAGCACGTTCAAAATAGGCTAGTAAATAAGTTTAACTGGGTTCGTAAATAATATTGGCCTCAAAATATTGTGGCTGAGACATGAGCCGATTAAACGTAGAAATAGGAAACCTAGAAATATAGTAAAAACGCTGAATAGTACTCCAGCGTCTGTCTCTTATACACATCTAGATGTGTATAAGAGACAGGCGATTACCAAGCGTGCAATGTAATTCTACGGTGATTATTGTAATTCTCTCTGTGTGGACAGCAAGTTTACTACAGTTTACTTTGTCATTGACACTACGAAAGAGACCAAAGCCCCGGCAACATGTTAAGGGTTTCAAGAAGTTTAAATTTTTGGCTGGTACGTGTTGTGCAACTGAAGTTTGGAGTATCTTAGTGACGGTATGCATGCAAGATGGTCCATTCTTGCTGGTCCGAATCTACCTAATTATATTTCGCAAAGTTTTTAATCAGCTTCTTCTATTTTTTGCCTTTAAAAATTTGCTTGTAATATTCCTGCAGTGTTACAGGCTCTGGGTGTTGTTAAATAGGCGACTGGATGTACGCCGTTCCCACCGAAAACGTGTTGCTCTCAAAATAGCAAATGTTAGAAAAGTAGAGGAAGGGATAAATGTTAGAAAAGTAGAGGGAGAAGAAAATGATATTGATGAATCACAAGTATGATGCTTCAGTACCTCATTCAGCAATGTTACAGAAGAACTTGCTTATATTATCTACCAGCAATAGAAGATCACTATGCCATTTATAAAGTTACCAAACAATATATTTTATGCAAAATACTGTATGTAAGTATGTTATAAAAATAATACATTTCTGCTTTATACCTGTTCTTCGAACAAAATTATTTATGCGAGTCAAGTGAAAATAATGAATAATAAAAATATAACAAATAATATGAGCACGACCCATTGTCTATATTAGAACAGCGTTGGTACCGGGTACAATAGTGTTTTGCTGCAGTGACATCTCGCTGCTGGCGACTCACTGCTGCTGGCGATGACTCGCTGCTGGTGAATCTATCTGCGCATGTGTATAAAATGGTATTTATTTCCGAAAACACTATGCCAGTCTACAACAAGCGTCGCCTAAATGTAATAATTAGCACGTTCAAAATAGGCTAGTAAATAAGTTTAACTAGGTTCGTAAATAATATTGGCCTCAAAATATTGTGGCTGAGACATGAGCCGATTAAACGTAGAAATAGGAAACCTAGAAATATAGTAAAAACGCTGAATAGTACTCCAGCGTAGCGACATGCCGACGTTGGTACGAGTAGGTAGTCTACAAACGTCACCTAAAGTAATTGATTTTACCCGGCAGAACGAAAGAAGGAAACTCCGCTTTTCAGTTGTCTTAGGCGATTGATTGTTTTTTGACAAACAATGACCTTTCAGAGGTCAAATTGCTGTCAAGAATATGAATTGGCTGCTTCGCAGCAATAACAGCAGCACTTTTGAGACTAACAATATAGATTTTATTTTCTAGCTTTCGTCCACACGGTGGACTTCATCAGGAGACTGCTATGCTATAGCATGACTGTGTTTTGTCTATTGCCCGTGGTTGACATAATATATTTACACTTAAATTGTGCTTAATGCTTAGTGCATGATTGAATTAAATATAACTGTTATAAAAATAACTGTTTTGTTTATGATGTGTCGGATAATGTAATGAAACGGTCTCAAAGCGCTCAAGGTGTGGAGTAGCTCTTAAGGTAACTTCCTACTCCCCTAACAGTTTCTTTGTGTCTAGCTACTTGGTAAACCGGTATCAGACCTAAGCTTGTCTGTTTACAACAGGGGCTGAATGGACCAGTTCACCGGGGTAACCCCCTACTCGTCTCGAAAGATGTACTTGGTTCTTTAAAATGCACATGAGCCAAATTGTGTACACTGGGCCTACAGTTTATAGTCCTTATCCGATAAGACTTGTTCCACTACCATAGGCAAGCATGCCTTGCCAATATGGCTGTACATTTTGGCGCCCCTACTTTAACAACTCCATTAAACTTGCTTAAAGGGAAATGGGGATGCTCGGCTTTTTGCTACTCTTGGATTTCTGTTCCATTTTTCAACTAGATTAGTTGTTATGGATGAAAATATTTTAATTAATTAAATTAGCTATTTTATTTGACTAGTAGTACCAGTATTTTGATCAAATCTATAAATTCTAGTTATGCAATTTTAAAATAAAATTTCAAATTTTTTTACTGTATTTGTGAATATTTAACCTTATTTTTTGCAGAGTTCATTTTATTTTAAAAAATACTTAAAGATATTAATAGATTGTAATTTCTGGCTGCAGAACCCCTTGATAATTTAGTTTTTGAGTGAGGGAGACATAATCTGCGATCTTATGTATGATATGGTTTGTTGATAAAAAATACTTAATTGAATTCCATAAAAATAGTCAATAAAGAAGATTTTATCATCACAAGAAAAATTTTCTTAACATTCCCTGTAATAGCCAAAGTATTCATTATTCAATCAAATTCAATTTTTTCAAATATATACCCCCACAAATGGGAAGAGAAATACAGAAACTACAAGTAGTACATAAAAAGCGCACAATTAAAGCGATTGAAACACAAACACGCATCCAGAATTAACCATGAAGCAAGGTGAATTAAAAGGATTTTGTTAAGTTAATAATTGTATTAATATTATTATTATAAAAGCAGTTCTTTACATGGTCACAGATTCTGCGATTTACACAATTATGGCTATTGTATTTTCAAATACAAATGATCAAAGGAAGCGTTCCAATCAGTGTTAATTTTTATCCTGTGAATGAGAGTACCTCTATACGACATGTTATTCTTTGCTTCGCAATAAGAAGATGACAATAAAATAATCTGAAATTTGAGTTGTTAACCAATTCTGACAGGAGATCAATTTGATTAGATAAAATAATATCTTTAACTTTTGTGAGATTTAGAGCATTAATTGTCATTCTACAATACTTAGGGATACCTAACACTGCTTTGAATAATTTACTTTGTCTTCATACATACTTAATCTTTATACATACTAGTAAAAGTATAGGATATATAATCATCATCATTACCATTATTATTGTTAATACGATATTGTATAGATTACCAAATATGGCAAAAAGCCAAACCAGTCACTCGTCGCAAAAATCGATATTTAGCTATTATTACAGGGTTAAACAGTAAAATGAGAGCTATAAAATGGTAAAAGAATCATTTAATTTCGTCAATTCTTTATGAAGTTACAGTAGTTTAAACATACAGCCGTTCAAAAAACAATTTTTTGGAGAATTCAGCCTTCAAGGTTTATGAATTTTGGGCATTTCTCGCAGAAACAATCACCAAATCATTAAAAATTGTTGTTTTAACATTGAAAATGCGGAAAATACCAACATAGCATGATATATAGATATTTAAAGGTTAGTTTAGTGTAATAAAATAGATTTTTAAAATGTTGACATTCCAGCATGTCTTGGCCATTATCTCTGAAACAGGATTTGCAATGAGTGACTGGTTTGGCTTGTCTTTGCCACATTAATGTTTGTATTATTATTATTAATAAAGATGATGTTTGATTGATTGATTATTTTTAACAATGTTAAGTCCATGTCATTATTTTAATGCATGTTCTGTTGTGTAAGTTGTAACATGTTCAGTGCCACAACTTTTGTACAAGTTGAGCACCGTCTGCCAAAACAAGTTTACATATGAAAAAAAACCCATTTTTTCATATATCATCAAAATGGTGTGTCTAAAAAATTGACGGGAAAATCTTAAGGGGGATGAGTAAAATTTGTCATTGGCAATAGGAATTTTTTTAATGCCTCTGCCAAGTGCAAATTTTCCCGTCTTCTTTTTGCACAGGTTGCTATGTGTTCAGAGGATGCCCCCACACATGCAGTTTTCTGTACTGACTGCAACAAATGCAACAAACATTAATATTCACACCTTTTTGTCTAGGTGTATCTTCCCCGAACTACCAGCCGTAAGGTCTGGTTTTACAATGTATCTTGAGTAATAAATGCTATCTAGAAAGTTGCATTGTTTTTGATGAGTATACTCTTGGTTGGCAAGTTTTCTTGTTCAAGACCACTGAAGTCAACCCTGTTTTTGCAACCATTTAAAAAAATTTGATATATTCAATATGCTCTTAAAATACATAACAGTAACAAAAAAACATGAATTAATTATATCACAATAGAGCATGTGATACTTGAGGACTCCTATAAACTTGGCCTACTGTACACCAAATTGTATTACTAATAACTATATTAATTATATAAACAATTGGTATTCGAATATTCATTGCGTTATTGAATGTAAACATTTAAATTGTAAATAATGATTTTGTTAGGTAATCACAGGGAACAGTTAAGTAACATGGAAACCGCCGCTCTTATCAGAATCAACTGACAACAATTTACAACTATTGTGTAAACCAGGAAACAGTTAAATTACACAGCAGAAAATTGACTAATAATAATAATAATAGCCATCAATAGGAACTCATTCAGATCATAGAGAAATTAGAACATATTTTCTCTATGTTCAGATTAGCACGCCTTAGTAGTTCGAGATCATTCCATGTACAGTAATTTAACTGTTCCCAGGTAATCATTAGTAAAGTGAATTCACAATTTTGAAATTAATTTTAATGATGTTAATTGTAATACAGGTAACTATATTTTATATTTTTTCACTTAATTAATATTGTCTTTTATTATTGTAGATATTAAAATTTTTAATTGATTTTTATTGTATATTATAGTTTGTTAGGTAATTAATAATATTTATTTTTTGACTGAATTTCCAAATTTTCAATTATTTTAATAATGTAATTAATAATAAGTATATTTTTGTAGTTTTTCTATGTAATATTTTTGTAATTTCATTGTATAATGTTGCCTATTTTATATTGTATTTTACCATCTTATTATGTAACACATTGAACAGAAATCTAAAAAAAATATGCTACAGTTTATAGATAAATATTATTATTATTAAGTATTGTTTGAAGGTTTGCATGGCGAGGTAATAATATATAAATGATTGTGGTACACTATGTAGAAAAGAACTGTTGTTGGTTCTTGTCACTTGTGTCTTTTCTTTTTTTTCCGATTTATTGTAAATGTTTTGTAAATGTTTTGATTGGCCAATAAATGTGACTTATAAAGTACCGTAGTGGTAATGTGTAATAATTTATATTTTAACTTTTGCGGCCCGACACCGATGACCTGTAAAAAGTAATATTAAAACTGAGAATCAAATGGCATAAAATCGGTGCATGAAGGTTTTTGGAAGCACACTTGAAACATCAAAGCTAGGTTTCGGCCTCTGTGTTTAAATCGAAAATTTAATTTGGCCCTCCAACTGATTTTCATGCCATCCCTACTCTAAATAATAAGAGTGGATTTTAAGGATGGAAGTGTGGGTTAATAAGGGTGGGTGGAGAGCCATGAAATTAGGTTTAGACTGGATGGAAAACTTCAACGCTCGGTGACTCCACCCCCTTCCCCCTCCCCCATAACTACATCCCCAAACTTGCAAAATGTATCATTCAGTACCGTACTATATAATCTTTTATAAGTTTTATTAGTCAATATTACAACAGTTAAACATCTAACAATGAGATTCTATACAGGATTGACAATTTATAAATGTCCAATATGCAATACGAGTAGGCCTACAGTGGATTTCCCTTTACAATTACAGGTCATTGTATTTGTAGAAGTCTTTTGATGAAGAAAGTGTACCTTTTTAGGAAGGGCTGCCTAGGTGAAAACTCACTCGAGCTATATGAAATTGATTATAAGCTTGAATTGTTA